AAAATGGAAAAAAAAAAAAAAAAAAACAACAAAACTGTCAAGGGAACCAAGAAGTGAAGGGGCTATGTACAAAATTATTTCCTTTCACTCAAATTATACATGAAGTTTTGCATATTCAGGCAAATGTATTTACACAAAGCACTGATTTTTAGAAATAATGTAGTATGCTCTTCCTTTTCCTGCCAGATCAACTCTAACTCCACCCAATCCAGTCCTGAACTCTCGGCCCCTGATGATTATGACAGTGCGTTGGAGCCACCAAGATGAAAGTGTTTTCAAATATCTAGTCAAAAAAAAGGATGCTTATGATGAGAATTTATTTCTATAATGGTAGAACTTGAAAGTCCTCTCTGAAACACAGCTTGTTGTTTAAGCACATAGTGAGAAACATCAAAGCCTAATCCTAGATGAAGGGCCGTTTTATTCCAGGCACACTAAGTCCCCATCCTTAACCCAAAAACCACCTTCATGATTAAAGAGGAATAATTTTTAATGACCTTCTGGTCATATGGATCAATATAAGCAGAACAGAAGTACTGTTTTTATGACCTGTACACTAGTCTGGAAATTACTTCCTTCACAGTGCATTTTTAAGGTCAGAAACCTTAAAAATGTTTTTCTTTTGAAACCAGGTCAGAAGGGATGAGATATAAGGTTCAAATCTAGGTTAAAACTAATTTTTTTCATGTTCATATAAATGAAATCAAAAACCCCAAAATGAGTTACAGCTAAATAATCATGTTTGGCCAAGTTACCACTTATGACATAGGAATTTCGCAGGCATGCTAACTAATAGCTGCATGTTTGGGCACCCAGAGCTTGCGTTCCTACAATAGCACACACCCTTTGCTTGCTTGGACACCTGATCTGCCTAATGTTGCCTCTGAAAACAGGCCTTACCCAGCCAGAACATGGGGAGAGTGTTCACCTTTGTTCATTTTGGTCTTTTTCAGTACCCATGTCTTTGCAGCTGTGATGGGTTACTGGAGTGAGACGAGTTTCCCCTCAAAACCACCAGCCCTGTCCCTGCTGCCTCACAAGGAGTAACTTTCCCAGCATCTCTAATCCACAATTTCTGCTCTTCCACATGCAGAAACTTAACCCACTTGCACTGGCCATGGTTGGCACCACCAGAGCCCCACCAGGCCGTTCCCGATTCAGCACATCCAGGAGAACTGCCTGCCAGTTAGTCCTTTCCAAGATGTGCAGCTGAGGTGCTTTGCCCTCATCTCTCGTAGGAGGAGGAAATAATATTATACCAGGATCTCATAAATCAGGATTTAAAGGATTACTGGAGTTACCTCTATGGAAAGCAGCAAGGCTGCCTCATGCACATCTTCCATACCAAGAGTGGATTGCAGATTGCAATCCTTGACTGCTGCAAGGAGAATGTGGGTAATGTTCCTGGCTGGAGAAGCTGGGCTCCAATCGGTTAAGTGGATAAACAGGCTGACAGTATTTGTTGGAGACACCACATGCAACAGATTTTGTTCTGCCAGGAGATATCAAATGTGGCTCATGGGCACACCTACATACAAAAAGGCTGGGACTACTGGGATAGTGTGTGGATATGGGCAGGCGTGATCTGGCAAAGGAACAAGGAAAATAATTGCGCCTGAAGAGGACAGTTGAATCAAGCTGAAGTTCTTTTCTCAGTTAAACAAAGCCCTGGGAGAAAAGGGATCTAGCTATAAACACACTCAGAAAAAGAATTGCAACAGCAAAAATGCAGATTTGATCAAACCAAACTGCTGCCTGAATTTCATTTTTGTTGAAACCAGTGAAGAAATTAAAATGTAACATTTTGTTTTCTCTCCAAGCTGTTTTTTGGGAATCTCCTTGTGCTTCAAACATTAACAGCATTTCACACCAAAATATTTTTTCTTCCTTTCTTTCTTCATTTTTTTTTCAACGGAACATATTGTTAAAATATTTGTTTTGAAATCTGCTGAATAAAGCATAGAAAGAAGTCCTCTACAAAGCTTCCTCCATGGAGCACCTCAAACTATTCCAATTCTGAACATCCATGTAGACTGCTAATACTGCAGAGGTCTCCCAGGAAAAGTGGCCATGTAGTATGCATGTAGTATTACACGAAACTTCAGAAGGAGGCACTGACTGACATTTGTATTACTTCTTTAATTCTGCATGATACACTTTCCATTTTATTTAAAGCCACTTTGATTTGTCTCCCTTAGATGAGAGGTCCCCTCTTTTCAAAAGACAATTTACCCAACTGCTACTCACCTGTTTGCTCTGTCTTCACAATGACATTATGAGATTGGTATATGTCACTTCCACACTGACCTGCAAGAAAGCAAATTGGCAGATAGGAAGTATGAGAATGAGCACAGAGGAATTAAATGTCTTAGCTCCAAGCAGCAACTTCTACACCTGAGCCAGAGGGCTGATTTTGGAGTGGGAAACATTCCCTCCCTTCTTCATCCTTCAGATTTCTGCCTTAAGTAATATCCAAGAAATTTAGCAATACCATAAATGAGCTATAAGCAGAATAGCAAATATAGCAAGTATAATCTGCCAGGCAAGCTTCTAGGGAACATAAATGACTTCTGAAGATCTCAGAATTCAGACTAATATGCACGTGTCTCTCTCTAATATCTATTTACCATTCCATTTTAGGTGCTGGAGGTTGCTGTAAAGCAGTTGTCCTGCTGTCCCAGCTGCCTGAGTGAATTCCTGCAGGCTCATACTACACAGATGTTCCCCATTGATATCAAACTCCTGGAAAGGTATGCAGTTGGCATCCAGTTGGTTGGTATCAAGGAGGTGCTGCAGCCACTCCCAGACTTGAAACTTAGTCCAGTACTGAGGGTGTATTTCGTGCCACTGGGTTCCATAGAAGCTACTGGATACTGGAAAAGAAAAAAACCACAAATTTACTGTCTCTGATAGCATAACAGTCATCAACAATAAGATCTATAGCCAAATTGCATGTCCTGGAAGTCTGCAGATCTAGATGCGTTTCTCAGTCCTTAACATTGGCTCAGTAGCTATTGCTGGAGAAGATATTGTGAAGGTTTTGGCCTCAGATTTCCAACTCAAAATTAGGCACTATTTCATTCACACCTCTTGGCTGATTGATTTGGAGGAACTAACTTATTAATGTTAGCTAAATACACCTAAATTCTCTGAGGGAAGATACTTTACAGAAATACTGTTGAAAAGGAATGTGTGGGAAAATTATTTTATTGCATCAGAAAATGATGGGAAAGCCTTGCAAAACTCTCATAAGGTGATGTGGAAACTTTCTTTGAATAAGAGCTTAGTAGGGGCTAACTATTAATTGTGGGGTTAGGAAAAAGAAGGTTAAAAGCACTCTCATACTGCTCCACAGTAAAAGCCTATCAGTGTGGGCCAAGTTTTCATGACAGATTTGGCATTCTGATGGTGCCGATTATTGCTGTAGTCCTGTAAGGTGGTTTCTGAATGCAGTTGTAAAGCTCATCTTTAGCTATGGAAGCTGCCTAATTTTCTTGTTAGAATGTCTGAGTCTTTTCTTGGCAATCTCTTAAACTGCTCTCAGTTGAATGTCATTGCATGACAATAATTTGCATGTGCAAATGGAAGAAATTGTACATGGGATAGGATCATTATGTAAGATAAGAGCAAAGGCAGGATTGCTTTGGTCTGTCCTCACAGAGTTCAGTGCAATTTATTCCCTGGGAAAGGAGGAAAATGGACTATGCCAGACAGAGGTGACAGTGAGATAAAATGTTCACAAGTGCAAGAAGGGTTTAAGGCTGAGGGAATGAGATTACAGAAGGAGGAGAGACTGCCATGGCCTAGCTCTGCAGGGACCTCACTCCAGGATATGACACCAGTCTGTTCCCATCTCCTCTAGAAAAAAAATTAACCACACAGTGATAAATACTGACAACAGTGGATATTGCTAAAGGACCACAAGCATCAGAATTGGCACATTTTAGGAAATCACCTTAACTCAGGTGCACTAGACCTCAGGTCTCTTCACAGGAGGTACAGGACAGAGTTTCCAGGTAACACAAAAACAATCCCCACAGTTATTTAGCTTTCTTTATCAATATTAGCCAACAGGGCTTGTGTAAGTAATTTAGGGAGTTTGCAGGACTGATCCTCATCCTCCCATTGAAGGATTTGGGGAATGAGTGTGGAAATTATTTAAAGTGTGGTATATCAGAGAAAAAAGGTTTGCTGAAGCTGTCAAATACCCCCTGAAAAGGAGGTTGATTTGTATTTTTATTACTTCAGAAGAGTAAAGTGATTTCAAAGGCCACACGAATCTTAATGTTAGCAAAGATACCTAAGTGAGAGAAGAAAGTAGCTTAGGTAAAAGTAAATGTAGTAGTGAATTATTGCACAGGCTGGTCTGAGATTTGAGTTTCCTATCCCTCTAAAACCTACGTAAATCCTGAGGAGTTTCACCCTGGAAATTTGATATAGACCCCCACCATTTCCCTCCACGAAATCCTGTGGAAAAGTAAAACTCAGACATGACATTTTTTCTATTACACTTTTACAGAAAAACAAGTACAATTATTAAGCACATGTTGATGTATATTCCTGTGTATTTATAAATTACACATTTAAAAAATAAGCATTTCATTAAGTGGGAACTTTAATTGTAAGTTTTGTTGTAGTACTATTTGGATCAGAAGGACAAGAGCAGCATATGATTGTCCGCTTAGATTTTGAGTTTTGCCTGTCCACTGAATAATGAAAAGAATTCTAAAATTATGTCAAGCACCTATAGAGATACAGGTTTATATATATTTTTATACTGAGAGAATATATATAAATACATTTTTATATATCCAAATATATAATCAGAAAACAGTAAGGAGAAAAAAAGAAAAAAAATCACAAGCCACAAGTTACCTAGTGCTCTAATGCCAGTCTAATTAGAAAGCTATCTAGTAATTTGAACTGAAAAAGCAAATACAGAAAAGGACCAAAAATACTATTCCCCTGGAAAGCCAGAGGGGTGATTAGCATTAAACAGTAATGTTGGTTTAGAGGAAGCACGAGGGGTAAAGGTATGAGGGAAAGAATTCTGGACTGAGAAGTGAGAACTTCTGGCACTTTTAAATTTTAAGAAAGACAGTCAGTAAGAAAATGAAAAATAAACTGGTCCCTATTGCAAGTTCAGCTTTTTACAAATGAAGTAAACAAATGAAAATTTTTTCTTACCAGAAGTGAAATCTGGTAAATTAGTACTACTGAAAAATAATGCTCGTACATGCTTAAAGGTGTAGCAGCCCCTTTCCCCCAGCCTCCCAAAAAAGAATACAGCTACGAGCAGTTGAATTCCTCCTACCATTGCATGTGGAATATCCGTCTGTCCAGGAAGGCTGCTGGTGGAGTAGATTGCTGCTGGAATTGATACTCATTCTGCCAGCTCCTTCCAAAATCATGATCTGTAAGTGAATCAAACAGCTTGCTTAGTGAGCGGTGTCTAGTCCAAGAGGTAAATGTTAAAAAAAAAAAAGAATCCACTGAAGGTGAAGCAAGGAGGCCAATTCCATTTGTAGAAGATACAACTGAAATCAAGAACATGTTGACACAACCCCTTTTCCACTGCCACAAAATCTCCTTATGATAAACATTACCATGATTAATTTGCATACGCAAGAAGCAAGTTTCTACAGCTGCCCATCCATAAATGAATAATCTGTAATCAGAAAAGAAGCCGAATGAAAAGACAAGGCTCCTGACAGAGCAATACATGAAAACTGCCAAGCTTTGAGAAATGAAATACTAAATAGTTTTACTTTTTTTTTCTGCTTTAAAGAGAAATGTGACTTAAACAAGTCCTTTTTTCTTTTTTTTTTTTTCTTTTAGGAGAGAGAAAGAACTTTCTAATAATTGCAAATGAAACTATATGGTAGACTACAAGCCATGCTCAGAAAATCCTTCACACAGAAGGATACACATAATGTTACAGGGAGGTAGCCTTACAAGGAATATCTTGTCAGCTGACCCAGTTTCTTATCAGATCTGTGTCAGCAGTGTCTATAACACTGCTTGGTAACAAATATCACAGATCATACATTTCAACCCACCAAAAAAATCAGATGGTCAACGATCTTGTAAATGAGACAGCCATTGTTGTAACAGAATCAATATTTTTGTGCGACACTACCCACAAGACAGCATTCCCTCTTTTATGCAAACTTTCCTTTCCATGTATCTTAGCATTAGCACCATGAGTAAAATTGTCCTTTACTTTTTTATACTTTAAAAACAAAAAACTTACTTGTATGACATTCTAGGAAAATGTTACATTTATCCCATGTTTAATCATTCCAATGAAAGTATACAAAATTCCTTAGTGATGGGTATTCTTGGTGTTCTACATTATCTTTCAGTGGTGTGAAGTTGTAAAGCTTAAAAATATACATAATAACCAAAGATCTTTGCGAGGACATTGGGAAAGTAATTTGTTAAACATTACAAAGACTTTGGATTGTAATTCTTATATACACAGAGGAAAAAAAAAAGAAAACCAAACCCCTGTTCAAAAATATTGAAAGCCACAAAGTCTGTAAAAACATTACAGACATTAGACATCAGGTTGGCATGTGCATGCAACTAGACTTCACCCTAGAATTAAAAAGTTATGAAATACAAAATAGACTTGTGAAGGGTAAAGTCACTGGTCTTGGCTGTTTATCCACTGAGGGCAGTGAAAAAACATCCACTCAGAGCACACCTGTACCCCCTATAAGTTCATGCCAGCAACCTTATTGGTAAAAGAGAAGGAGTCAATAGAAACACTTAGAGCCTTGGTTTTAAAGGAGCAGTCTGAAAATTACCTGGATTGGTATTTTCCTCTGTCATTTAAAATAAATCACGTAACTTAAAACTTACAAGTATCTCTTTTTTCTCCCCTCCTCCCTGCACCCCCCCTACCCCCCTATGTATTTAGAGAAGGAAAGGGGGAGAGGTTTGAGAGAGAGAGAATTGCTTAAAAAGCCAAAGCCTTAGGAAGTTTAAGGAAGTTTATCACAGAGAATGGTGCTTTATACTTAAATTAGTTTAGTTTTTGTGTGGTTTTTTTTGGTAGCTACACAGAATGGCAAAAATCAAACCATGGATGATTTATCAGTGACTTTCCACTTCTAATTCTAGCCAATCTGTGATTCAGTGACCACCAGCAAGGAGGATTTAATTTCTCATAGTAGATATATCGGGCTATAAAACATTAACAATTGAGATACTTCTTGTCCCATTCTGGCCAAATGAAAGATGATTATCACATCAGTCAGTACATTTATACAAGTTAGAAGACTTTTTTTCAGCCCCGTGTAAAAGTCAAGCAACTAAGTATTATGAGTGAAAAGGTGTGAGGAAGCATTTGTATTCAATCTCATGATTATAAATATGTTCAGCCTATAGCGTATACAAATTATATACTTGATGCATAAGAACTTTTAAGCAATAATGTATGTTTGACAGTCAATACATACACTTCTGAGGCTGTAAAGGTTGATGATGTATCAAGTTATATCTTTAAATTTAGTTTCAGTCATTAAAGACAATTAGGTATGAATGAATGAAATATTCATGAAAAAGACCTTATTATAGTATCAAATAGAGGTGAGGTAAAATACCAGCTATTCTGGGAAAACAATAAAAATTGGGGATTAGGAAAACACACTTAGAAACTTAGTCATTATATTTGCTTATTTTTAAAAAATTATAATATGCACTTTGTAACTTAAATCCATTCATCTGAATTCACATTTTCAGAAGCTATCTCAGAATTAAAAGTACTGTGTTATGTCGTTTTGTATTCCAAAATTTCTGTAGTTTCTGGAATTCTACACAGATTTAATAATTTGTGCTTACAAGTATGTCTGGGAAAACGTGCATATGAACTGAAATTATTTCTGTGTAATTTTGTCCTGAAAATTCAGTTAATCTTTTCTTCTTCATAACTAATAAGGTGAATTTTCAAACCAAAAAATCCTATGAAACTTTTAATCGGCAACTGAAGCTGTGTAAAATTAAATAAACCAAATCATGTGTCTTGCATAGTTTTTCCACCCCAGCAGTAACTCAAAGCAATGCACATTAGAGATCTGAAAAGGAAATTCCTGACAGCCTCTTCCCGAGATCTGGATTTTAGTTATTTTCCTTTAAAATGTCCTTTCCCTGTCATAGTCTAGCAGACAATTGTTCTTCACCATATCCCTGAAAAATATTAATATTATTTTCAAATAATGTCCATGGAACTTCCTTTACAATTTAATCAATCCATAATTCCAGTTTTGGAAGCTAAATAAATTATCTCAACCTCAATAACTTAACTAATTTCTAGTATCACCTGTAGGAACAATTGTGCCTAAGAAGGAGAATTTACAATATGACATTAATCACAGAAGGATTAATGTCATAATGTAAATCCAGAAGGAGGACTGGATTTAGCTTTAACTTAAACTTTGCCAAAGTTGTGTATTACTGAAGGAACAGGTTTTTCAGTGTCTTTAAAATTTTCAGGTCACCTTCTTTATCTTAATGCAAGGGTGTTCCTTCTTTGGAAATCATTCTAGCACTTTGTTCAGGAGGATTACAAAGTCCTACTAACAACTTCCACACCTTTCCTTGGAAGCATACAGCATTATGTTCAACAATATTTTCTGTATGAAAACTAAACTGGGATTTTCTTCATGTCATCCTGTATATACCTTTCTTTGCTAAAAATCCATGGTAGATTTATGCTTATAGAGGTGGCTCACCCCATGCTTGAATGGATTTTGAGTCAGGATATTGGAAACAGCGTGTTCCTCATTAGTCCAGGGCCAAACGCTCAAATCTCCCTGGTGTACAGACAAACCTGGTTAAAGGGTGTGAAACCTCAAGGGGAAGGACACATAAGATGTTCAGTTTTCTTTTAATTATATTCCATGTATCAAAGTGAATTGTGGAACTAATGAAGCCTGGTTTCCTATGAATGTGTATCTTGTGGTTGAATTCTCTAGTGTCTAGTAAGATGTGAGTGCTGATTGAAGTTTTTCCCACGGTTGGGGCATTCATAATATCTCATTGTCTCAAAGCAGTGAGCTCAAGCGTCACTCTTTCTTTCAGATCGAGTATTAATGGATTTTCCTTCTGTACTTGGCAGCCAGTTTTCATTAATCTTGTAAAAACTTCATATCTCTTGAACTTCTACCCCCATATCAAATTTAATTAAAACTGGTGATGAAACTGAAAGATTGTTACAGGCCATATGTAAAAGCCAAAACACAGAATTACCACAAAATCCTCATTTCCTCTGGAAACCATATTAAAAGGGATTCTGAGCTGATATTTTGGAAAATAAAATTTAAAAAATCCCTGAGATCTTTCCCTCTACTATGTCATGGTACATTATAAATTAAAGCACGGATGAAACACTGAGTATATAATCACATGTACTTTTATAGACATACACACATACATGTCTTTGTCTGCATGGCAGGTGTCTGTACACACAACCCTATTCTGTTCCCCTGAAGAGGAGCTGTCTCTGGAGTTATAGCACTATGCAAATAACACTTTACACAGCCAGCACAATTAGATATAGTTGTGCACTGGTGTTCAGCAAAATTCCTTCTACAGAGAGTCCTATTAGAAGGGATTAATGCATTTAAAAAAATAATTCACCAACATTCATTATATCAGGTGGTATTTTAAGACCAAACCCTGAAGGCCTCTCTTAGTTAAAGCTCTCACTGGAGTCCCAAGGAGCTTTGGCTGAGCCGCAACCCAGCAAGTTGGTAATAGAAGCAGGTCATTTGCTCTGCTCTTCTCTTCCATGGCCACCTGACCACTCTGAGTAAACAGGGGTAATGGAAAGAGCAAGGAGCCATAACCTGCCTGTGGAGAAAATCCAGCATTACAGAAAAAACATATTTACAAATCCTTGAACCTTGAACACTATAGTGCACTCTATGTGAATTATTTTATTGCACTACAGGTGTGCTCTGAAAATAAATTACTCTGATCCCCATTTTCACATTCAACACAATGAATCTTAACAACCATATAAAAAGTTTCTCTTTTCTTTGAACCAGAATCTTTCAAGAACAGCTTATATTAAATGACATGAAAATTCCAAACACAGGAAAGGCAAATAAGGGGTACAGAGAAAGTGACTGAATCCTGAAGTAATACAATCAGAGCTATTGTTCTGATATCAATTTGAACAGTTGCTCATGGACACAACTCTGAAGTGAACTAAGGGGGCGTGGAAGGAGAGCCTATAAGAGAAAGGGATCTATGGGAGAAGGGGGCATCCATAGGGGAAGGGTCCCCCAGCCCTCCTGCTGGTAAAGCCATGCACTCTGCACAAAACACAACAACAACGTCTAGGACAAAACAGACTGAAACTACTAAGCCATGACTCCACCTGTAAGCTATGCAAAGTCTAAGA